CTACTTGATTTATTGAATCATTGGTGGTTGTAAGATTAGTTGTGTAATTAATTGACTAATGCATTCACCCATTTTAAAATATTTTGTCGAGTATCTACAATTTGTCACTATGGCGCTAGGTGCAAACTGTTGTAGTACAAAACAGAAAAATCACATATGATGCTACCAAAACGTTATTGTAAATTTCAATAAGAAATGCAGATATGTTCTTATTTCCAGTGTTCCCATGGTCTGAATATTGTAGGATTGTTTTATATGGAAAAAAGTGTCAGAATTGGAAAGGGGCCTCATGTTACTCATATGCAGTGTTTTATTTAGTTGTCTTTTTTTCTCTTAACATTCAATTGTGTCTGGGGTAAGAAAGAGAAGGATTCTTCAAAACCAGTCCATCACTAGCATTTATTTGTTAAAACAAGTTCATTTTTGGAGCAATAAATATATTAACCCTAGGTAGAGTGGTGTGCTGATACAAATGTTTAAAAACTGGCTTTCCAGCTGTAATTCCAACATGAGTATTGTCTGATTTTTTTAAATTAACGAGTTAGACAAAAGTGAAACAAGACAGACATATATTGAAATTTCATTTGTTTTTCAGTGACATGAGTTACTGTTTTGTTCAATCAGAAAATAGTTTTCAAAAACTGGAAGAATTTTTCTCATTTTTGTGCTATTTACAATTATTAGGTTGGTGCAAAAGTAATTGAGGTTTTTAAAAATGCCATTACTTTTGCATCAACTTAATAAATAGCTTCAGGCACAGTACATTTTAAAATTTAATCTATATTATTAATATTTTCTGTATCACCTTCTTAAGTCTAGCTACATAGCAAAACAATAAATCACACTTTTTTTTTTTTTTTAGACAGAGTTTCGTTCTTGTTCCCCAGGCTGGATGCAATGGTGTGATCTTGGCTCACTCCAACCTCCACTTCCCGGGCTCAAGTGATTCTCCTGCCTCAGCCTCCTGAGTAGCTGGCATTACAGGCACCTACCACGCCTGGCTAATTTTTATATTTTTAGCAGAGATGGGGTTTCACCATGTTTGCCAGGCTGGTCTCGAACTCCTGACCTCAGGTGATTTACCCTCCTCGGCCTCCCAAAGTGCTGAGATTATAGGCGTGAGCCACCTTGCCTGGCAATCACACTTAATTTTCAACCTTTGCTGAGTTGCTTTGTTACAGTAGGTAGCTAGTCAGACATGCACAGGGCAGGAGAGGGCCCCCCTCCTCAACCCAGGAATATCAGATGACCATCAGGTGATGGTCAGGTAGTTGCTAATTGTCTCTCTAAAACAATAATTGGTCACAGCCAGCACCAGGGAAGGGCTGTCTTCCAGTAGATAGAAAACACATGAAACTGGTGATCAGCAACTTCCCAATAAGATCTCAGAAAGTTGGGTGAGTTGGCTCAAGCATGCACATTAAGAGACAAAATGACGGAATTTAACTGGTATATGACCTTCCTCTAGGAACACTGTACTAGTAAGGGAAGAATGCCGAAAGGGGCCATGTGTTGAACTCCAGTAAACACACTGCACATGCTTCCCTCCCAAGTTCTAGCAGGCCACTGCACATGTGGACAGATAACTTCAGGGGAAGAATCAGGAGAGAAGTAACATGAGACCCCAGAAGTGTGCAACATACAAAATCCCAAGTCAAAACGTCAAATCGGCATTTGTCTTTGAAGTTGTCCCCTTGGCTCTCTTCCAAGTATACTTTCCTTTCTTTTGTTCCTGCTCTAAAGCTTTTTAATAAAACGTTGATTCCTGCTCTAAGACTTGCCTGGGTCTCTACTTCTCCCTTCAGCCTCCTAGGTCGAATTCTTTCTTCTGAGGAGGCAAGACTTCAGGTTGCTGCAGACTCGTTTGGATACAGATTCACTGCTGGCAACCATTTCTATGTTGTAAACACTTTCAACATTGTCAATTTCAAGTGACCCAAGGTGTGGTCTCTAAATGCTCTTTGGGATAACAAAGAAATCCTATTATCTTCTTAGTATGTGAAGTCTCAATTTGGTAAATAAAAATATTAAGTCCATCATGTTGATCAATACTTTATATAAATTGGAAGCATTTTTTCCCCATTCCCCCAGTAGGACCAGGTGCAAATGGGCTATCTGCTACCTAGGAAAAAAGAGGAAGTATAGTCAATTTCTCTCATTCTTGCTGACCCCCTCCCACACTTACTAACTGCTGTTTTGAACTGCCCAGGAAACGTCTTGGTTGACTGTTATTACTGTAAAAAGAATTTGTGATCTCTGAGCCTAAGAGATGTTGAAACATATTTCTTTTTTTGTGAATGCATTGATAGATCCTTAGTAGCCCTATTAGCAACAATAGACAAAGAATATACTTTTTATCTGGAGTTATGTGGTGCCTGTCCAGACTTGATTGGTTTCCGTTTGTTTTCTGTTTATTTGCCTGATTTGGCAATGCACTCACACAGACTCTTTCCGTTGTGGGATGGTGGAGGAGGGATGTCATCAGGATTTAAAACAGCTTCAAACTGACCCTCTCTCTCCCACATAGCCCTCCTCTCTTCCATGGAAAACACATGTACCTATTTTTATCCATACAAACTTTGAAAATGAAATTCAATTTCAACACAACGCTAACTTTCCTTTGCTCTGGAAAACCTATTGTTTATCCTCTGGATATACCAACAGAAATCAGATACCATCCCTTTCTGCTAGGCTCACTGTTGGCAACACATAACAAGCTCTTCAAGGTGCCTGTGGAAGTCCCTATCACTATAGTTAAGCTGAGGAGCCAACAAACCCACCACTTTTTCTTGGGTGAAGGGTGTGTGTGTATGTGTGTATGTGTGTGTGTGTGTGTGTGTGTGTGTAAAGATGATACCAAAACAGCTTCTTCCAGGCAAATCTTCCACACAACATCCTCTACTTTTTTCAACTTTCTTTACCATTTGTATCATTACAGTGTGTTCAAGAGACTTTTGGCCACTTTCTTTTTAAATTCTGCATATAATCTAGCATGTACTTTGGAAGATAGAACTGTTAGATCCTGGTACTTGAAACAAAATTTGCGTTTTAGCCAGTTATTACACTATAGATATGCCATTTATTGCACTCTAGCTGTAGAGAATATCCTGTGGTTTTCCCAACATACTATCAAAGCTGTTTTTATATCCTGAATTCAAACAAAGAAAAACGTATACACACACACACGTGCACACACACACACAAACGTGTATTGATAGATATCACACATGACATATTCATTAGATTTAAAATTAGAAAACACAGACAATTTTACAATAAAAGATGAAATCAGATACTTCTATAATCCATCTTCCAGGAAAATCTGCTCTGAATATTTTATTTTGCTTTATTTACAGTAATAGACTCCCTTTCACTGCTCTTAACTATCTGAGTTCTCTGCCCCCCCTTCCTTACTTTATACATGGTGGTCTAATTTCTTATCAGCAAATATCACCCTTTATTTTAATTTTAATGGCAGCATGTGTTCTATGTTATTAGTATATTAATTTTCCCTTCACTCATCCTCCACCATTAATATTTGGGTGGGGTTTGTGTTTCTATATTAAACTACACCACTATGAACAAATCGTATGTGTACATTTATATTGATATATTTATTTTCAGCAACCACAATAATCCTGCCTCTTTTGGCATGCATTTGCATTTTAATAGGTATTAAGCCTTAAGCCAAAGGCACACATTTCTAAAATAGAAATTCAAGTATCAGTTAGTGGAAAAGGAATATATTTGGGGGACATATTATTCCTTTCTGTTCCTCAAGAAATCTTAGTAATGAGACAATTGCCTGCAACTGCCTACTCATAAATCTGATTCAAATTATATGTGTTATTTATGTGATAAGCCCCCTTAATTATTAATATTTTGGCAAACAATCTAAAACCAAGGCTCTTTCTAAAAATATCCATTTGCAGTGATCCACAGCAATTCTAAATGCTTATGTAAAATTCACTTAAATTTCTCACGTCTGCTAAATTAGGTTAGCAATCTTACCTAGCAGTCTCTCCCTGCATTACATTGATTCATTCTCCTGGATTATTTTAAAAATTGTTATCTGCCAGAGGATTATGGAATAAACTAGTAAAAACGAGGAAAAAATGGAGGTGATGCACTGTATGTATGTTTTTCAATGTCTGCACAAGCTTAAAGAAAGTGTGTAGGTTCTTTTAAATTACATATATCAGGTGTTTTATCATGTTATCCCTTCTACTTCTGAAGATATTCTGCACATTTTAGAGTAATACCATGATAATGCAGAACTCAAGTGCTTTTGTTTTTCTGGAAATGCACATTACAATAAGTGATTTGCATAAGAAATGATTTGCATTCTAAATGTAGATGATTTAAGGAAAGTGGCTGCACTAAGAACCTCAAGCTAGAATTCTACTCTTATCCCTTAGTTACCTTCACATTTGGCAATATACTATAGATTATACCTGCTTTAAGACTTAAAATGTAAACTTTTAGAAAGTAATGTTCTAGACTGTTCAATAAAATGCACAAAATTATAAAATGCATTTTATTGTCAAAGGTTGAGAATTTTAAAATCAGAGTTAAACATTTTAAAGGTAACCTGTTTAAAATTGATTAAAATTGCATTTTTCCCTTGAGTAAGATTGCTTCTGTAAGTGGTTAGTTTAAAACAATGTAAATAAATAAAACAAACCAACAGCAACAGTGAATAAAACTTAAATTTCAACGATTTCTGTCATTTGCAAAAGATGATATATCTCCAGTGACATGTGCAGAGAAAACAAAATTCAGGTCATGGCAACTTTGAAAAATTATTAATTGCATAGCATTTAGAGAAGCAGTATTTTACTTAATATTTGGTATAACTAAAAGGAACTCCTTGGCATAAACCTTTTAAATTATTGGAGAGAAAAAAATAGTGATTCTGTGCCTTTAATTTCCCTTTCTGAGCGAGGGAAGGCTGCACACCACTGACAGGCTCACTTGTTCCCGTCTTTAATGTGCAATCTGTTTTCTCCAGCGGAGGGCACTCAGTGTATCACAAACTCAAGCATTAGCACCAACAAGCTCTGAGCATCATCAGTCTCTGGAAAGCCTTCTGAATTAGACAAGGGCTGCCTCTCAGCACAGCTACAAAACACTTTAAACCTGACCAGCTAAATGGATAAACCTAGCCTGCATAGCTTTTAAACTGGGGTCTCATACAGCACAGGAGGCCTACTTGCTTCAAGAACTGAAAATCCAGAGGATGAATTGCTTTATCTGGGAATGGCAAAAGCCAGCACAATAAGGAATGCCAGGTATTCTGAAGATTTTCTTTTTTTCCTCTCTTTTTACGGAGAAGTTGGTTACCTCCGAGATGGGCTGTAGCTCTTTTGCACAGATTGCCAATTACTGCTGATGGGTCTCTGGTGAATTACACAATGGTCCTCAGAGCCTAGAGTCCCTCCCCCCTCCCTATCCCCCCAACGGCTTCCTTTTCCCTGCCCCCCTCACCATCCCACCCTGTGCTGATTTTTATATATATATATGTATATATATATATGTATTTTTTTTTTTTTTTTTTTGCCTGTCCTCTCGGGGAAGTTTGTATGGGGCTACTAGCTCACATGCGGGATCAGAATGGTGTGAATGACAGCCGCACTGTGTCATGAAGGTGGTGGTGGTTTCCGCACAAGAGACCAAATAAGAAGAAAGCTGAGAGAGGGGGGAAACGTTTTTGGATGACAAAGGATGGGTAAGTGAACTTTTGTTGTTTTCTTCTGAGCAAAGCTGATCCTCTTGGCTTCCTATCCTCAGTCGTGGCATTAGCAGATAAAAGACGGGGAAACAGGCAAAGAGCAGCAGCCTTTGAGTTTGCCAGTTGATTCACTATACTTGCTATTATATTTTTAGATCATTTTCCTTTTTGCAGTGTTTTTTTTTTTTTTTAATCTGTAAATGCACAACACGAACTTAAACAGACTCTAGAGAAATATCTTTAAGACTGTCTCTGCTGTCTGCGTATCCACAGCTTGGGAATTGAGCATGAGATAAATATTGTGTTTGCTTCTATTTCTTGATAATATTAACGAGGCTTATGTTTCTGGTAGCTGTCACGATGACTATTAACACTTTGCTGCGTGTGTGTAGGGGTGGGGTCCTTACTTTATCAGAGGTTGCACAAGGGCTTGTTTTATCTTTGAAGCTGGATTCTGAACACAGCTTCCGAATTTCCAGCAGTCATTTGCCAGTCTTATTTTTTCAAGTGTGACTGGCTTTTTCCCCCCCTTTCTCCTGTCTGGAAGAGCTGGAATGTATTTCAATGAGTCTGTAGCTGGCAAGAGGACAGACAGCAAGATCGGGTTTTAAATTTAAAAAAAAAAAAAAAAAAAAAAAAAAAAAAAAAACCTTAACTGTTTGAGAAGAAGGATGGGTTTTAGATCAGGGATTTGGTTGATTGCCTCTTGGTTAAAATTTTAAAAATTTAAGGAAAAAAAAAGAAACTGCAACACATGGTAGTTGTTTCTTTTTTTTTCTCTCCATTAAGAAATAATAAATCTACTGTTGACAGAGGAAAGAAGTCCCTTAACATGCAATGACTTGGAAATGCAGTGTAAGTGCCAACAGATTGTAACTTTGCAGGCTTTCTGAAGTTAATTGAGGTTGGGGAGAAAAAAGTCAGTGAGAAATAAGCAGAGATCAGGGTGATGTGGAGAAAAATAGTAGTTGGCTGCTTCTTTCCTTGTTTATCCTTCGAATTTGCAAAAGCAACTCTGTTTAAAATAATGACAAAGTAATACTACACAATATTTTTTGCTTTTTAGGCAAATATTTAATAAGAATTTTGACAGTCTTAACTTTGGAGTGTTCTCCGTTATGAGTATTTAGATATCTTAGCTCCTGTATCATTGGGCAGGGAGCCACAGTATGCAATAATCTATGCTTATTAACAACTTGAGAGCACCTCGTACTGGTATTTGTCTTCATCCAATGCTTCATTGGCTGCCTATACTACTCTCAATGCTGTTTTTCCAGAGCTCACACATTGCGCTCCTATTATACAATAAGTACACAATTCAGGCAGGGCAAACTTGGGTTACCTTGACAGCTTATTGAAGCTCTTTTGCCAAATCACAGCCTGTTTGCTCAACTAGGAAAGACGTACAGGCACCAGGTTTACTGTGTCACATTTTTGACCTTACCAGAGTACATCGTACACTTCCTTTTGGTACTGTCGTTCAATACAGTGGCTAGCCAAATATTATTGTTATTAAAATGTCAGCATTCAGTGGTGAGAAAGGCTCTGTGCTTTTCAATGTTGAAATAAGTAGGAACTCCTGAAACTCAAAAAGGCTTTTCTTAGTTCTATGGGACTGTGGTGATTTGAAGATCAAGGAAGAAAAAGTGAAACCTAAGCAGCAAACATGCAACACTGAAGAAAATAATGCTCAAAATGTTAATGCATTTTCCTTAAATCAACTGTCCCATTCCTACAGTAGAGGAAATGCCTCTGTTATTGGTAAACCGGCGGTGATTTATTTTAATAGCTTCACAATGTGCATCTGTCTTTTTTTTAATATCGTAGGTTTCCATTTAATTACGCAGCTGAAAGGCATGAGTGTGGTGCTGGTGCTACTTCCTACACTGCTGCTTGTTATGCTCACGGGGGCTCAGAGAGCTTGCCCAAAGAACTGCAGATGTGATGGCAAAATTGTGTACTGTGAGTCTCATGCTTTCGCAGATATCCCTGAGAACATTTCTGGAGGGTCACAAGGCTTATCATTAAGGTTCAACAGCATTCAGAAGCTCAAATCCAATCAGTTTGCCGGCCTTAACCAGCTTATATGGCTTTATCTTGACCATAATTACATTAGCTCAGTGGATGAAGATGCATTTCAAGGGATCCGTAGACTGAAAGAATTAATTCTAAGCTCCAACAAAATTACTTATCTGCACAATAAAACATTTCACCCAGTTCCCAATCTCCGCAATCTGGACCTCTCCTACAATAAGCTTCAGACATTGCAATCTGAACAATTTAAAGGCCTTCGGAAACTCATCATTTTGCACTTGAGATCTAACTCACTAAAGACTGTACCCATAAGAGTTTTTCAAGACTGTCGGAATCTTGATTTTTTGGATTTGGGTTACAATCGTCTTCGCAGCTTGTCCCGAAATGCATTTGCTGGCCTCTTGAAGTTAAAGGAGCTCCACTTGGAGCACAACCAGTTTTCCAAGATCAACTTTGCTCATTTTCCACGTCTCTTCAACCTCCGCTCAATTTACTTACAATGGAACAGGATTCGCTCCATTAGCCAAGGTTTGACATGGACTTGGAGTTCCTTACACAACTTGGATTTATCAGGGAATGACATCCAAGGAATTGAGCCGGGCACATTTAAATGCCTCCCCAATTTACAAAAATTGAATTTGGATTCCAACAAGCTCACCAACATCTCACAGGAAACTGTCAATGCGTGGATATCATTAATATCCATCACCTTGTCTGGAAATATGTGGGAATGCAGTCGGAGCATTTGTCCTTTATTTTATTGGCTTAAGAATTTCAAAGGAAATAAGGAAAGCACCATGATATGTGCAGGACCTAAGCACATCCAGGGTGAAAAGGTTAGTGATGCAGTGGAAACATATAATATCTGTTCTGAAGTCCAGGTGGTCAACACAGAAAGATCACACCTGGTGCCCCAAACTCCCCAGAAACCTCTGATTATCCCTAAACCTACCATCTTCAAACCTGACGTCACCCAATCCACCTTTGAAACACCAAGCCCTTCCCCAGGGTTTCAGATTCCTGGCGCAGAGCAAGAGTATGAGCATGTTTCATTTCACAAAATTATTGCAGGGAGTGTGGCTCTCTTTCTGTCAGTGGCCATGATCCTCTTGGTGATCTATGTGTCTTGGAAACGCTACCCAGCCAGCATGAAACAACTCCAGCAACACTCTCTTATGAAGAGGCGGCGGAAAAAGGCCAGAGAGTCTGAAAGACAAATGAATTCCCCTTTACAGGAGTATTATGTGGACTACAAGCCTACAAACTCTGAGACCATGGATATATCGGTTAATGGATCTGGGCCCTGCACATATACCATCTCTGGCTCCAGGGAATGTGAGGTATGAACCATGATCCTCCTAAAAGCATTTCTACTGCGGGGAAGGAGAGGTAAATGTTTGAAGCCCTAGAGGTGTCTCTAATCACTAGAAAGATTAATGACCCTTTTGCTTTTGGGTTTTGCTCAGTATGAAAGGTTACTTAATTAAATTACAACCACCAGGAAATTGACTGCTTTTTTTTTTTTTTTTTTAATGGTTGAAACTTGAAGGAAGTTCATTCAAGGATAAGTTGGAATAAAGCACTATGTTAAAACATCTGCTTTTTAACAATTTGTATACAGGGGTTGGACTTAAAAACACACATACAAACAAAACTCTTTTCGTTCTGAAATTTCTGTCTGGTTCTTGGTGTTTGACTTTTGTAATGGAGTAAAGAAGAGGGGCCAGCTTAATTTAAAAATAAAGTGAGTTTACCAAAATTCCAGAAGGTAATGAAGATTTAAACCAAAGAGCAATTTTCCCAAGGGTTGATTTTGTTGTAAATTTTTAGTTTGAATGAAAGCATGCAACAGGGATCTTACACCCGTGTTACTTGCCATTTAGTTATTATACCAGCATAGAGAATGTCAGAGGCCTACTGTGTAATTGTATCAGATTCCTAAGGTGTCTTTTATTTTTTTTTCCTTCTTTCCTACTTTCTTTCACTCCTTCCTTTCCTTCCTTTTTCTTCCTTTATTTTTTTGTTTTGTTTTGTTTTTTAATTACTGGGTTATAGATCTGATTTAAAAGGTTTTTATGCACTGGCTATTTGTGTTTAATCAGAATGAAACTTCAATTCCATGCTTTGGCTTTGTCCCTGGTAACTAAAATCAGGTCACAATTTTGTGGATGATTTAGCAATGACAAAATGGCAGTCATAGCAAGGACTGTTTGTCAGTATTGCTGTCATCCCCAAAAGAAATGATATGTATTCTTGTTAAACTTATTCAGAAGTAAGTGATACAAATATTCATAAATAAAAGGAGAGAGGTTTGAGTTCTGGGTATTCTCCCTTTCTGTAACAGCCTCAAATAAAGGCGTACCTTCCATGTTATATTATTTTTGTTTTTATAAGAATAAATTTGGACCCGGTTTCTGATTATTTAATTTTAAAGATCACTTACAGGAACGTGTTAATGAGTAGACACATAGTCACAAATTTCAAACTTGTCAATAAATAATACAGGATGTAGATTGTTCTTTTCTTGGTAAAGTTGATCCTTATGTGCAAAGACTGACTACCAAGGCCTTGTTGCTGGAAGAAACTAGTGAAGAGAGGTTAAAGTCTGGGAATATAATGTTTTAGTATCTGATTTTAGATGATTACTCTTTCAAAAGACAGTTTTAATGAGTATTTAAAGATGTTGCCCTTTCTAATGCTAGTTAACAGTTGGAAAATATAATTTGCTCTTTGATAGTGTATACTCCAATTTCTCCATAGTCCTAACTGCAAATGCTAATGAAAATGTTTTCAGACAAAGCACTGAATTTGAAATAATCTCTAACTCAGTACAATTTGGACTATTGAACTGTTCTTCAAAGAGTTCATTTTCGCCTTTTTTTGTGTATCATTGAAAATAAGAGAAGTAATCCCAGATAGTAAATTCCTAAAAGGAAACTGTATAAGCAATTGCCCTTAAAAATTAAAGAGAATAAAAGATTTTCTATAAAAGTCTAACAAGGCTTGATGTTTTTATTGCAGGCCCACAATTATACAATATACTTGAATATTAGTAACACAAGTTCATCATATTTTATTCTGGGTTCTCCTTATATTTTGTGATCCTCTTAAAGGCTGGTAACATAAAAAGTAAAGAAAAATCTAGATGCATTAATTCATTTTCTCTTGACGTTTGGAGTAGAATGATGATTTTTATTTTTAAGAATCACCAAGAAGAAGGAAACATTCTTAAAGAACCAGGACTTGAGAGCCAGGGTTCTAAAACTTTTCCAGAGATCTTAAGTTTCACAGATTATTGCATCAAAAACCCTAGGCATTACCATGATAGAAACAAATTTAAAAGATGGTTCATTTAATTAAAACGTGTATTTAAAACCACATTTTGATATTGTATGTGTTATATAGATTGACATTTAATGTCATGAAATTGCACTAGTATTGTTGGAAATGAATCTGTTGTTAAGGCATTAAATAATGAAGAATGTAATTAAATATTGTAATAATTCTGTTGAGTCAAAATGGAATCCTTACTGAAGTAGCTCAAACTTTCTGTGGCCTAAAACATGGAAATTAGAAGGCTATACATTTAAGATCATATGTCCATTTAGGATGAGGAGGGGGGGTGCTCTAAAACTACATTTAAATGAATTTCAACTTGTTTTAAAACAAAAACATACAAAAACAAACATTGCAGGGGTCACCCCATTTTTTGACAGAATGTTTGCTGTATTACAGTTATAGGTAGATATAAACAATGAGGAAAAGCAAACTCTTAGAAATTGTTATACAGAAAGCCCTAATTACTTCCTACTTCTTTGTCACTCAGAGTAAATTTTCTCCTGTTGAGAAATATTCCTTTGGACAAAATTTCTCTACAAAATAGAGTCAAGAGAGGGCAGTGATTTGCCTAAGTTTACAATGTTTTGGGAATAGTAGAAGTATGCTGAATTTTAACCTGGCATTGTTTCATAAGTCTCATACATCACTAGTTTAGCAGAGAATCATTAATATATTTATAAGACATTTTTGTGAGGTAGGTTTTTTTAAAAAAATATTCAAAACACCAAACTCTACCCAATAAAGCCATAAATATTTAATTGGGAAACTTAGCACCAAATGCTAATTTTCTAAGATAGTGCCTTGAAGAAATAAAAATTGCATTAAATTTAAAATTCTGCTTTCCACCTAACTTTATATTCAGTTACCATTACCTAAATATGGTTACAAGATCCATTTTGTTTGTTTGTTTTTTTTTTTTTGAGAGGATTTTTTAAAATTGAGATTATTGATTAGATTGGTGTTTGTGAACTTCCATACAAATATAGCATGTAATTTTCAAATTAAATAATTTTGTCTCTATGTTTTGCAACTTTTAATTCTGAAAAGTCCATGTGCACATACCATACTGATAAAATGCAGGATAATATTTTAATAACTTGGGCAGTAAAAATTGTTCATATCTATAAAAGAGAAATAGAGTAGATAGTTATGAGTAATTAATATGATATATAGCACAAGTATAAGGGATACATACATCTCAATCATCATACTTTGAGTAGAACAGTGTGCTTGGTTGAACTGAATCATTCACTTTGTTCTCAATATGTACTCAGAAAAGAGAATTTAAAGCCAAAATGATACAGCTTTTCCTAAAACTGTAAGGTGTTACTATAAATAGACAAAATGCAAATATTTACTTTTAAAAATAGCTTGTGTAGCTTGGCATAATGTTATCTCATTAAAAAATATGATCAGGGCTATAAAGTTGCTTCATTCTGCATATCAAATTTTTCCTTCGAAATTGTAAAGAACAAAGTTTTGAATTTCTAGTTCTTCTAGAATTTGTTTCATCAACTAAAAATAACAAGGGCCTTTATATTAGACAATGTGAATACAGGACAAGAAAGAACATTTGTAGTGTGGTTTGTACATTTAAAAAAATTAAATTGGTAAAAACTTAAAATGAATGAATGTAGTCTCTAAAGAGACTCTCCATCCAAAGTGTTTCAATAGTTAAGTAATTGAAATATAAAGTTTAATGATCCCATAGTGCTAACAGTGCTGCTATTAGGAAAATAGCAGTAAAGGTGACATTATAGGTGTATATTTTCCAAATATTTAATATTTTCGTTACTTTCTTCAAAATTGAGCAAAATTTTAAAAAAATTACTGGTTTTCAGTTGGGGTTATATAATTTCTTTCACTGTTATGCAGAGGGTGGTATAAACCATTTCTAACAATTTATATTTATTGACTATGTTAGGTCAGGTTCAAACAATTAGCATAGAGTAGACCATTAACAACTTCTCACATTTTAGATATTTGATATTTTGCAGTGTGCTAAGTGAATTTCCAAGGACTACTAAGCAAAATGTATGTACAAAGACGATTCTAAGGAAAGCAGACCCAGTTACCTTGAGTTTAATTAACGGTTTATCAACATAAAGCTATAGAAAACAAACTATTTAGGTGGCTGACTACAACTGTGTCATGATACAATGTTATAATTGAAACTGTATTTGTATATTAAATAGAATGTGTGTGTGTTTGTATATGAGTTTATCCAGGTATGTATGTCTGTATATATGTGTGTGTGTGTGTGTGTGTATTGAGAGACAGAATATAAACATTTTTCCATCAGAATTAATGTCCATGAAAATTAATTAAATTTTGTTACTACAATTTAAATTATTAGTAACAAAAATTTGAGGTCAAAATTACCAAGATTTGTTTTAGTTAGGAATATGGTCCTTAAGGTAAATGTATTACCATATCTAAAAATTTTAAGTGTCGTCAGGCGCGGTGGCTCATGCCTGTAATCCCAGTACTTTGGGAGGCCAAGGAGGGTGGATTACTTGAGGTCAAGAGTTTGAGACCAGTCTGGCTAACATGGTGAAAACCTGTCTCTACTGAAAATAATAAAAATTAGCTGGTCATGGTGGTGCATACCTACAATCTCAGTTACTAGGGAGGTTGAGGCAAGAGAATCGCTTGAACCCAGGAGGTGGAGGATGCAGTGCAAGATCATACTACTGCACTGCTGCCTGGGCGACAGAGAAAGACTCCATCTCAAAATAAATAAATAAACAAAATATAAATTATAAGTGTTTTACATCTATGTAGTCTAAAATTCTTTTTTAAAAAACAAAATTTAACATATAGTCAAGTCTGTATTTATACTACATATTGTCATTTTTTGTGTTACTTTAGACTTGTCACTTCATTTCTCTGTGACGCGTCACTCAAACGAGTGACTCAGCTGGCACAGTGTTTCCCAACACAAAGCAATTCCTAGATTAGCATAAAATTTGTAAAATCTCAATGGTCATTCTCAGAACTA